CATGTATGAGGCTGGGTATAACGTGTATGAGGATGGGTATAACGTGTATGAGGCTGGGTATAAAGTGAATGAGGCTGGGTATAACGTGTATGAGGCTGGGGATAACGTGTATGAGGATGGGTATAACGTGTATGAGACTGCAGGGTATAACGTGTATGAGGCTGGGTATAACGTGTATGGGGCTGGGTATAATGTGTCCGAGGCTGGATATAACGTGTATGAGGCTGGGTGTAACGTGTATGAGACTGGGTATAACGTGTATGAGACTGGGTATAACATGTATGAGACTGGGTATAACGTTATTAGGCTGGGTATAACGTGTATGAGGCTGGTTATAACGTGTATGAGGCTGGGTATAATGTGTCCGAGGCTGGATATAAGGTGTATGAGGCTGGGTGTAACGTGTATGAGGCTGGGTTTAACGTGTATGAGAATGGGTATAACGTGTATGAGACTGCAGGGAATAACGTGTATGAGACTGCAGGGGATAACGTGTATGAGACTGGGTATAACGTGTATTAGGCTGGGTATAACGTGTATGAGGCTGTGTATAACGTGTATGAGGCTGGGTATAACGGGTATGAGGCTGGGTTTAACGTGCATGAGGCTGGGTATAACGTGTATGAGACTAGGTATAACGTGTATGAGGCTGGGTTTAACGTGTATGAGAATGGGTATAACGTGTATGAGACTGCAGGGTTTAAGGTGTATGAGACTGCAGGGTATAACGTGTATAAGACTGGGTATAACGTGTATGAGACTGCAGGGAATAACGTGTATGAGACTGCAGGGGATAACGTGTATGAGACTGGGTATAACGTATATGAGGCTGGGTATAAAACGTGTATGAGGCTGGGTATAACGTGTATGAGCCTGGGTATAACGTGTATGAGGATGGGTATAACGTGTAAGAGACTGCAGGGTATAACGTGTATAAGACTGGGTATAACGTGTATGAGACTGCAGGGAATAACGTGTATGAGACTGCAGGGGATAACGTGTATGAGACTGGGTATAACGGGTATGAGACTGGGTATGACGTGTATGAGACTGGGTATAACGTGTATGAGGATGGGTATAACGTGTATGAGGCTGGGTACAACGTGTATGAGACTAGGTATAACGTGTATGAGGCTGGGTTTAACGTGTATGAGGACGGGTATAACGTGTATGAGACTGCAGGGTATAAGGTGTATGAGACTGCAGGGTATAACGTGGATGAGGCTGGGTATAACGTGTATGAGGCTTGGTTTAACGTGTATGAGAATGGGTATAACGTGTATGAGACTGCAGGATATAACGTGTATGAGACTGGGTATGGGTATAACGTGTATGAGGATGGGTATAACGTGTAAGAGACTGCAGGGTATAACGTGTATAAGACTGGGTATAACGTGTATGAGACTGCAGGATATAACGTGTATGAGACTGGGTATGGGTATAACGTGTATGAGGATGGGTATAACGTGTAAGAGACTGCAGGGTATAACGTGTATAAGACTGGGTATAACGTGTATGAGACTGCAGGATATAACGTGTATGAGACTGGGTATGGGTATAACGTGTATGAGGATGGGTATAACGTGTAAGAGACTGCAGGGTATAACGTGTATAAGACTGGGTATAACGTGTATGAGACTGGGTATATCGTGTATGAGGCTGGGTTTAACGTGTATGAGAATGGGTATAACGTGTATGAGACTGCAGGGTTTAAGGTGTATGAGACTGCAGGGTATAACGTGGATGAGGCTGGGTATAACGTGTATGAGGATGGGTATAACGTGTAAGAGACTGCAGGGTATAACGTGTATAAGACTGGGTATAACGTGTATGAGACTGGGCATAACGTGTATGAGACTGGGTATAACATACGGTGCATGAGGCTGGGTATAACGTGTATGAGACTGGGAATAACGTGTATGAGGCTGGGTATAAAGTGTATGATGAGGCTGGGTTTAACGTGTATGAGAATGGGTATAACGTGTATGAGACTGCAGGATATAACGTGTATGAGACTGGGTATAACATGTATGAGACTGGGCATAACGTTATTAGGCTGGGTATAACGTGTATGAGGCTGGATATAACGTTATGACGCTGGGTAGAACGTGTATGAGACTGGGTATAACGGGTATGAGACTGGGTATGACGTGTATGAGACTGGGTATAACGTTAGTAGGCTGGGTATAACGTGTATGAGACTGCAGGGAATAACGTGTATGAGACTGCAGGGGATAACGTGTATGAGACTGGGTATAACGTATGAGACTGCAGGGTATAACGTGTATGAGGCTGGGTATAACGTGTATGAGGCTGGGTATTACGTGTATGAGGCTGGGTACAATGTGTCCGAGGCTGGGTATAACGTGTATGAGGCTGGGTATAACGTGGATGAGGCTGGGTATAACGTGTATGAGACTGGGTATAACGTGTATGAGACTGGGTATAACGTGTATGAGGCTGGGAATAACGTGTATGAGACTAGGTATAACGTGTATGAGGCTGGGTATAACTTGTATAAGGTGTATGAGACTGGGTATAACGTGTATGAGGCTGGGAATAACGTGTATGAGGCTGGGTATAACGTGTATGGGGTATAATGTGTCCGAGGCTGGGTATAACGTGTATGAGGCTAGGTATAACGTGTATGAGGCTGGGTATAACGTGTATGGGGTATAATGTGTCCGAGGCTGGGTATAACGTGTATGAGGCTGGGTATAACGTGTATGAGACTAGGTATAACGTGTATGAGGCTGGGTATAACTTGTATAAGGCAGGGTATAACGTGTATGAGACTGGGTATAAAACGTGTATGAGGCTGGGTATAACGTGTATGAGGCTGGGTATAACGTGTATGAGGCTGGATATAACGTGTATGAGGCTAAGTTAAACGTGTATGAGACCTGGTATAACAGTGGGTGAGGTTGGGTAAAACGTATGGGAGGCTGAGTATAGCGTGTTTAGAAGACATTGTGAAGCTATAGACGAATTTACGTATATTTCATTCACACAATATCCCCACAGGAATATTTCAGTATGAAATTTTGTTTTGTACAAAGGTGCACTTTTTGTTTTTGTTTCTGTGCATTTGGAGATGATACATAATTATTATTTAAATTATTACTTTGGAAACCTATCAATTCGGTTGTATTGCCCACGAGTTCAGAATACTACTTATATTTCGATCAAATTATTTGTAATTAATTACACATATAGAAATATTTAACATTGTTGAAACAATTTTGATAACCTAGAAATTTAAACGTTTTTATTCCTAAAACCTCAGCAAACTATTTTTTTTCCAATCAGCATATAAACTTTAGAACAGACCGGATCATTACGTTTTTGGAGACTGAAGTTTTCGGGTGTAGACTAGTTTCGTGACTAGGTAGCGGACCGGATCTGATTTGCCCGTGTACGGTATTAGGTCTTATCGCCATTGTTTGAGATAAGACAATGGCGCTCCAATTACGCTCTACATCTGATAAACAAGGCTGTTTGTTTGTTACCCGTGGTTTGTGTTTATTGGTTTGATATTCTTACCAATAAATCGCTCGTCATTCTTATCAGGAATTGTACCCTATTCTACCAAAGACCTACAAACCTACAATAATTGTTGTTTGTTGGAGGGGAGGGGGCAGCGCTGGTCCTAGACCCCGGCTGTGGGGCTAATGACGTTAAAGGGACAGCGCTGGTCCTAGACCCCGGCTGTGGGGCTAATGGAGTTAAGGGGACGGCGGTGGTCCTAGACCCCGGCTGTGGGGCTAATGACGTTAAAGGGACAGCGCTGGTCCTAGACCCCGGCTGTGGGGCTAATGGAGCTAAGGGGGTCGGCGGTAAAACAGTCGAGTTACCGTCCGGGGGTAACGGAATTTTAGGTTATATTAGCAATGTAAGGCTAATAGAAAATGTGTGTTTATGTGTGAACGTGCAGGGAGGGGAGCTGATATCATCTATAAAGAGGCTTAAATATCACGAACCAATATATAAATTATGAAACAAGTTATGAGGACAGTTTTTAACAAGTATTAGAAAGTTACAAATCAACAGTGCAGAACAAGTCGTTGACTTTCCACCCAACCCTAACCCCTAACCCCAAACCAACCACTCCTTCTCCCATTCCAGAACTGACACTCTAATTAAGATCATATCTTAATGATTATATTCCTCTACGAGAGAATCATAGAAGACCTTTTATATTTTGTTATTTAATTACGCCGTCCAAGGACGTTTGAATATATGACTGCGATAGCTTACGTCTCACGCCAACTTTTAACATGAATAAAGTTCTCTTGTTGTAATGCATGTGTGGCCGCGTGTAGTCACTTAACTAGCAATACCGACCAGGAATACCAAATAGGAAAATAGGGTCATCACGATTGTCCGGCTACCCAGTCACCACTAATCCCATTGTCCCCCTACCCAGTCACCACTAATCCCATTGTCCCTCTACCCTGTCACCACTAATCCCAGTGTCCCTCTACCCAGTCACCACTAATACAATTGTCCCGGTACCCAGTCACCACTAATCCCATTGTCCCTCTACCCAGTCACCACTAATACAATTGTCCAATTAGCAAGTCACCACTATAGTCCAACTATCCAGTCCCTAGTTATTCCATTGGGCCACTATCAAGTCACCACTTATCCCATAGTCCTACTATTATGTCATCGTTTTTGTAGAGAGTTTACTATGTATACGTTGCCTGTGGGTAATTCACCTGTTCACAGTAGCAACATTTGCTCGAAGACATAGCTTGATTCGTCCTCGAAGCCCCTCTCTATCCGAGAGTATCGAAGCCCCTCTCTATCCGAGAGTATCGAAGCCCCCTCTCTATCCGAGAGTATCGATGCCAACTGATGGGGATCTCGAGATAAATGCCGACAGTCGCTAACACGTTAACCGCCGTAAACACTAAACTTATACCACAACCTTATATTTAAATTTCGTTCTGGATACGTCTGAAACATAAACGAGGTCATAGAAAAACAAAACTTACTTATATTCTTTGAAACGTCCCCTTGCCGGCTTAACCACGTAATATTGACCGTTCTCGAACTGAGATAAATCCTTGATGTGTGTTTTCCCTTTGGGAGTGTAAACGTCCCGCATGCACTCATTAGCCTTGATCTTCTTTGTCACCTCATCAAGAAATGTGTTCATTGAGCTGGTGTTGATGATCATTCGTTTCGGAGGTGTGAACAGGTCCCCATTTTTACACAGGAACACCGATTTCGCCGTCGGCACGCTGTGGAGATGGTTTGATGAGTTACCGGATGACCGAGGTGACGACATGATTGGTGATTTGCTTAATTAACACAATCCGTGTAAAGATGAGCAAACATAAATTAAACAAAAAGAAATAATATTGATAAAAAAGTAATGTTGTTTCAAAATATGACTGCCCAGCACCTTGGTATCGAAAACCTATAAACTGGTGCGAATGACTTTATATCTATATTGTGCGTGGACGCTACACACCCCTCGAGTGTTTGGGTAAGAATTTATGCCGGGTCCTCAAGACGTGCTAAGAGGCCGATATTAAATCTCAATACAAAGTGTCGTCTTAGTCCGGAGTTGCTGTTTACCCGGGTTGTTTACCAAGGACACGGCATATACCCGTCAAGTTTACACCCATAAGCTGATCAAACTAGCTTAATAAATGACAATTGTCAACAAAAGACTACTTCCGGTTGACAATACAGTCAACATATAACTTCCGGTTGACAATACAGTTAACATATAACTTCCGGTTGAAAATGTTCAACGAATGACTTTCGGTTAACAGTTTTAGATAAATCACTTTCCATTTTTTAACTTGAAGCGAACTTTCTCCTGTTGACAACTTTAATGAAGCACTGAATTTTGAAATGAAACAAAAAAACACTTCCGCTGACAAGCAACCACACGTCTTATGTTGACAACGTCTGTCAAACGCTTGTTGAGTTTAAATGAATAAGTCGTTGGTGATTCTCGGCCCACAATGTCACAAATAGGTGAGACTGTCCACAAATACTCTCCAGAACATTACATTACCGGCCACAGCAGCCCTCGTCATGACAGTCAAGTTGATGTTCAGAGGCGATTGGCCATTGTTAGACCATCCTGTTGTTAGGGAATCGCGTCCTCGTATCTAGGGAGGTGTAGGATCCGTAAATGGTTTCCTAAGATGCGTCTCCAGTGTCGTTCGTACCTTGGTTTACCTGTGTTTACCTGTGTAGCGAGTCGTATACACATAGAGGAGCTGGAATGACGGGTATGCGCGCCCCGCTCTGTGTATCAACTTCAATCTGTATGTACATGTGACGGGGCGTAGATCAATACAGTACACAGACAAGCCATTGTTCCCGTGAGCTGCTGAACACACCAACACTCACACAGACTTGCTCAAGTTTGATCAGAAAAAAATAACCTTTCTTTATTTGGACGACTTACCTTATTTTAAGGTACATTAGTACACTGGCAAGACTAGGCTCATTGACAAAACAACCTTTTATCAAGGGTTTGGTTTGGGTTGTTTGTGTTTTACGTCCTATTAACAGCTGTGGTCATTTAAGGACGTGCCAGGTTTTGTTGGTGGAAGAAAGCCGGAGTTCCCGGAAAAATCCAGTGGTAGCAGAATGTCAGACGCCTTAATTATATATAACCACTTAGCTCTTTTTTTCAAGGCTTTAACCTCCACAAACGTTTTATATGAATATATTTGTTAAAAAACATATTTAATTGACATTAAACAGTCAAAAGGATAGGGCTCAAGCTCTTACATCTTACTAGGCCCTTTCCCAGAAACATTATCAACAAAAAAAACAAATAGAATATTCAATCTCAGTTTATTTCTTTTAGATAATTTAGAATTGGTATAAAATCAAATCTATGGAAATGTGATAGCTTAACTGGCATGTATGTTAGCTCATCGAGCTTAGAGCACCTAGCACAGAGTGTATTTGAGTAACTTTATTGTATGGTGAGGCGTCCGTCGTCCGCCTACATTTTCCGTTAGAAAACGTCTTCTTATTAAGAACTGCAAGATCTATCGTCATACTATTTGACCAGTAGCTACCATAAATAGAGTGCATATATCGCTCCATAAAACAAATCAAAATAACCTATATTTACTTTCATGATCAACGGGGATCAAATATGTCAAAACTTCAAACGATATCTATAAAAATTCTACAGCAGTCAAAACACGCAATGAATCCAAAAACGATCTAAGCGACTCTACCAAATCCACGTCGTTTTGGACCTCAAATCTATTTTTTTTATGTAAACAGATCCGTTGGCCATTGGAATCGGACATCAAGACTGGTGAAGACACCTAGCACGTCATAGAACATGAGGAGTGTTACCGGCGAATCTCAATTCTATCTTAATCGGCTCTGTCGAAAATTAAGATTCGTGATTCTTTAGTATGGTACGAAGCCCAATTATACCGAAATTATACAAGAGATGTAATAAAAAAGAGTAGAGCGATGATATGTAGCCTGCAGTGTAAGCTTGCTTGATAAAAAGTTCAAGTTTACTAATGAGACTGATCGATCCATTGTATATTACCTTTCATGTGAGCAATACAGGCCTAATGGGCCTCTTGTCAAATACCCGAATATCCCTATGTAGTGATACGCCCGGTTTTGGTCGAGTTGTCAAAACATTAATTGGATAATTTTCCTGAAAATAGTAGTCATTGAAATGCAAATGTCAAACCATGTCAGCTGCTGAATTATTTATTCATCGTTTGACATTTTTATTCCCTAACCAAGCGTTAAATGGACAGAGTTTGCAAACAGTAGATGACGTTATCTTATAAACTATTTAATATAGCCATCCCATAAAGTTCACGGCGGATATTACAGTCTGTATAACATACAGCAGTATGGAGAGGACATATTCTAATTATACGAGAAACTATCTAAATTAAACACAAGTGAAACTATTCCTGTACCACTGCCAAACAATGTAACTACCATCGGAAATATCGTTACCGGCATCACTACACATTTTATGACTCACTTTTGAAAAGAAACCCATATCATGCGGAACGTTTATTAACAAATAATAAATACGAAATAAACCAGTTTTCTGAGTGTGAAAACGCGACGAGGCCGGACCAGGATTCGAACCCAGACCTCAGATTATTATACATTCACTCCACCCAACTGAGCAACCTGGTAAACAGTACCACGCTGGCCTAGTCGCTACACAGTTCTTCCAAAACGAAATTAGGACTGAGGTGGCGGAGTGGTTAAGACGTCTGACATTCGGCAAACACTAGCACTCCATCACTGGGTCGCGGGTTTGAGACATACGTGGGACAGTCGCCAGGTACTCTCCGTAGGTCAGTGTTTTTCTCCGGGTACTCCGGTTTTCCTTCACCACCAAAACCTTGCACATCCTTAGATAACAATAGCTGTTAATAGGACGTGAAACACAAACAAACCAAAACGAAACGAAATTAAAGGGAGGTTACTGTGTGCACGAAAAACTACAGTGGAACTCTCTAGTGTTTTGCCTACAGTGGGAAAAGTATCCTTAACTGGGGATAAACCCGATAGTAATAACCAAATGCTCAATTAATTAAAGTCAAAACTGAACACTCTGAGGGAAACTTGGAAATCCCAGGCGAGTCTCTTTAGATAATAAGAGCTGTCAAATCGATAATGGATAACTGGAGAAGCCCTTAACACAATGACAGCGGTAAGGAGACGATCGAGGTTCCTCTATTTTATTATGCCACTCAGACACACTGGAGTATGATAACCACGTTTAGGGCATATTTATTAGCTACGCTACTTGAGATATAGGACTTCAGGACCGAACGCGGCGTTTTCAAGATACCTGGCACTCGTACCAAAGGTTTTACTTTACACCCAGCTACTTAAGGTGTCGAACAAGATGTCACATGTATATATAATAATTCGTGCAAACATTCATCGTAAACATGAATAAGTAGATTTTACAAAAAATATATATAAACCTTGTTGACACTGCGTTCTGGTTCACAATAGCCTGTGTCACGAGTGACTGATACCTTGTAGAGTCACTCGTAATTGTTCTGGTTCACAATGACTTGTGTTACGAGTGACTGATACCTTGTAGAGTCACTCATAATTGTTCTGGTTCACACTAGCCTGTGTTACGAGTGACTGGAACCTTGTAGACGCCGCGTTCTGGTTCACAATGGCATGTGTTACGTGTGACTGGGACCTTGTAGACGCCGCGTTCTGGTTTACAATGGCCTGTATTACGAGTGACTGATACCTTGTACAGTCACTAGTAATTGTTCTGGTTCACACTGGCCTGTGTTACGAGTGACTGGAACCTTGTAGACGCCGCGTTCTGGTTCACAATGGCCTGTGTTACGTGTGACAGATACCTTGTAGACGCCGCGTTCTGGTTCACAATGGCATGTGTTACGAGTGACTGGAACCTTGTAGACGCCGCGTTCTGGTTCACAATGGCCTGTGTTACGAGTGACAGATACCTTGTACAGTCACTCTGTCTCATAGTTGCTCTGGTTCACAATGGCCTGTGTTACGAGTGACTGGAACCTTGTAGACGCCGCGTTCTGGTTCACAATGGCCTGTGTTACGTGTGACTGGAACCTTTTAGACACCGCGTTCTGGTTCACAATGGCCTGTGTTACGTGTGACTGGAACCTTTTAGACACCGCGTTCTGGTTCACAATGGCCTGTGTTACGTGTGACTGGAACCTTTTAGACACCGCGTTCTGGTTCACAATGGCCTGTGTTACGTGTGACTGGAACCTTTTAGACACCGCGTTCTGGTTCACAATGGCCTGTGTTACGAGTGACTGGAACCTTGTAGACGCCGCGTTCTGGTTCACAATGGCCTGTGTTACGTGTGACTGGAACCTTTTAGACACCGCGTTCTGGTTCACAATGGCCTGTGTTACGTGTGACTGGAACCTTTTAGACACCGCGTTCTGGTTCACAATGGCCTGTGTTACGTGTGACTGGAACCTTTTAGACACCGCGTTCTGGTTCACAATGGCCTGTGTTACGTGTGACTGGAACCTTTTAGACACCGCGTTCTGGTTCACAATGGCCTGTGTTACGTGTGACTGGAACCTTGTAGACGCCGCGTTCTAGTTCACAATGGCCTGTGTTACGAGCGTATTACGATTGGGTACCTCAGGTCAATCAAGTTTCAAGGTGTTTTTTTATCAAATGTAATGTAGCCTACAGGTTATACACTTACATAGCACATGTTCATACTGAAGTACAATATACAAGATGGCGGAGGATAATTCCTTATTCACATTTAACAAGTAAATTGTACTGTCCCACAAGTGCTTTTCTACTGGCAGTTGCATGCAATAAGTATTTTACTTATAGCTTTGACATGAGAATATTTCAATCAACTTATAAACGCTTGGATGTCGATAATAATATTATTTTAAATATGTGTTTCTTAACTCAGAATAAGCTGGACAAAGTAGTATAAAATGCATCTCATCTTCTACATCATTTTTGTTACTGACAGTACATATGCTTTGGCCTCTGTGGACGGCATTGTAACGTACTGACTCAATACTAATAGTCAATGTGAACCAGACATTCGTGATTTAATGTAGGTAAGAGTGAACTTAGTGAATTTAGAAAAATAATATTCATGTTAAGTAAATCAACAGAAAATAATATCCATATTTTCACGGCGTATAGAATGAATAATGGACTACTTGCACAGAGTAAAACTAGTCATGTTTTTGCTTTAAATCAATCTGCTGCACCCATTGCAATATTTGGGATCTTTATCTTTCTTTCTACTTCTAACTACCTTTTATTTCCTTGCGCCTTGCTTGGCATCACCTCACTTTTGGCCTTAATTTTGAGCGTTCGCCAAGGTGAGGAAGGCAATGGGTTCTGTCCCCAGGCCGGGACATACTAAAGTCCTTAAAAATGCTAGTTGTTATTCCCTGCTTAACGTTCAGCAATTAGGGGGATGGCAACAACTGGTTCACCCGTTGTCAGTATAATGTGACCGCGCGGAATGTTGTACTGGGTGCCTTCGGCATGGTATTTCAGTTGGTATCACTATAAAGTCAGCATTAGATCCGCGCTATCACAAGGAGGCAAGCACACACATGCAAGCATGCATACACTACACACATGGTGACACGTCCTTAAATGACCTTAGCTGTTAATAGGACGTTAAACAAAATTAAACCAAACCAAACCAATCCTACCAAATAGCATTTCAGTATGATTGACAGACGAAGTAAGGAACGACTGTTGAGGTTTAGTTTGTCGA